ATCAACCTGCTGGATACTAGAGATCAGGGACTAAACATAGACATTGGATTTTTGATACATTATAATCTGCCTGGCAACTGACTCCCCAGCCCAGCCCAGCCCAGCCCCTGGCTTGTTTACTTTTCATTCCATCCAGGAAGAGCACACACCAACTGCTGCAGCTTCCTTAGCCTGACGAAGGGTTTTTGAACCCGAAAGCTTGCTTAATAACTATTCTCCAACCATTTGGGTTGGTCTAATAAAAGATATCAAATTCACCCAAGGAACCTTGTCTGCCTTCCATAAATTAATGCAGTGCACATGTGAGTTGTGGGCAATATAGAGACAATCAAACGCAACAGCTACAAATTCAGGACAACATGAGCTGGGATTGAATGGATCCCTTGGTAACCACAGAATCTCCTGTAAGAAGGCATATAACTATCCCTCCCTGGGAGTGTTCAAAATGACATAAGATCATAGGAAAGTAAGGCTGGAAGTGACTTCACAAAGTCATCTAGTCCAGCCCCCTGCTCAAGGCAGGATCATCCCTGACTAAACCATCCCAGCCACGTATCTGTCTAACCTGCTTTTGAAAGTTTCCAAGGATGGAGATTCCATTACTTCTCTAGATAGCCTGTTCCTATGCTTGACCACCCTCATAGTCAGAAATTTCCTCCTACTCTCCAACCTAAATTTCCCCTGCTGCAGCTTGAGGCCATTGCTCCCACTCCTGTCTCCTACAGCCACAGAGCAAAATGTATCTCCACCCTCTCTGTAATTGCCCTTTAGATATTTGAAGACATCAAATCCCCACTCAGTCTTCTCTTCTCCAGACTAAATAACCCTAGTTCTTTCAGCCTTTTCTCATAAATCCTGTCTCCCAGGTCCCTGATCACTTTTGTTGCTCTGCAGTGGACCCTTTCCGAACTGTCCACATCCACACTTTAAGAAGGGACCCAAAACTGCACAAAGTACTCCAGGTGAGGCCTCATCAGTGCTGAATAGAGAAAGAAGAATCACTTCACTTGATATACAAGAGACCCTCTTGTTAATCTAGTCCAGTATGCTATTGCCTTTTTTGCAACAAGAGCATGCTTGACTCCTTTGGTCTACTGGTAACTCCCAGATCCTTCCTTGCAGTACTGCAGCCTAACTAGTCATTCCCATCTGAATTTGTGTGAATTATTCCATCCCAAGTGCAGGACTTTGCACTTGTCCATGCTGAATCTCATCTGATTGATTCCGGACCATTTTTCTAGTCTGTCAAGGTAGTTCTGCATCATAGCTGTACCCTCCAGAGTGCCTGCAATTCTACCCAGTGTGGTATACATACTTGGTGACATAAACGCATGGAGCAGAGTTCTGAGTTCTTTCCTGCAGGGTGGGGTATCTGACTCTTTAAGGGTTTAGCTCAGTGTCTGTTGCATAAGCAGAGATCCAAGAACTGAGGGTTGGAATACTAGAAGAATGGGCTGTTGGGTAAGTCACTCAAAGCTGGCTTACCCAAAGAATGGTACAGCAGGTCCAAGAGTGGTGCTGCTGTTTTACTAGAAGCGAGAAGTATAATAAAAGTAGCTTCTGTTTTTGGAAACAAGAGACAGATACTGTCTTCAGGTTGTACCAAGCCACCCTTATCCTGGTGCTTTAAGGCCCCGCTATTGTCCTTTCCTTAGGAAAAGTCATTTCTTTTCATCTCTCAGCACCCACAGCTTTATCTTTGTGTTGAAGCCCTTGATTCCCTCCACACCAGGTTATTTGGTTATTATTTCATATGTACATAGTGCTCTAGATGCTCCTGGACCCAACTAGAGATTGGGCACATAGACCCTGCCCCAGTGAGGATGTAGTGTAAGTCTGCTACAGCATGACATGACATTGAGAAAACCAAGATTTTGCTGTGAGAGACCTGTGTACTAGGAGGAGGTTGGATGGTGAGCTGGAAAGTTGAGAGGTAATGGGGCAGCCCCATGAACAGCCCTGGGAAAGCAAGGGGGAAGGTAGAATATCCCCCCTCCCATACCCAGAAGATTCCTCACGCTGAAGTGCCTGAGAGGAAGTATTTGCTTATCAGCTTGATGCATTCAAGCCCAGTTCATGAGGTTGTGACAGTTAAGCCTTCTGGACAGTCAACTGAGAAGCAGGTATGACTATATCTGCTCCATACCACTGGGGCAGGAAACGTTCAGGAAGGAGTCACAGTGGCAGGTCCAGGGAGCAGTTGGCACTACTTTGGCAGGCCTCTGGCTTTTGAATTGATAAAGGTAACAAAGCAGCTAGTAGCCAGTTCCTTCAAAGACGGTCTGAAAGCTGAATCTACACAGGGCTTGAAGTAGCTCCTTCCTCCTTCATTGCTGTCAGCTATTGAAACTGCTCTGGAACAAGCACTGCCCTTTCTAGTACATAACTTGGGGTGGTAAAAGTTCTCCTATCTGAGAAGCCCAGACATCAACATACAGAGCAAACTCCTGTCTAAGATAATGGTAAAACACCCAGTAACATCACTGGGGCCAGGATTTCAACTAGTAGCTCCAAACCCCTTTTGTGTGCATCCTCTGCTAGTGTTTTTCTGTGGGTCTGTTTGTAACCCATTAGTGCTGGGTGGTTCTGGAGTGTACAACACTGTACACAGACACAGAAGTGCTGGCCATGTCCCTCCTGCCCCCCGAATGCCCATTTGGCAGTTGTTGCTATCCTAAGAGTTGTGTTAGTATAATGAATCAAAGGTGCAGAGGTAGACGGGAGGCTTTCATACAAAAGAGGGAGGCCCAGTACCAAGCTAAACCAT